GGGAAAATATTGTTTGTGTGAAAAATCAAGTTTTTGGGTTTCTTCCTTAGAGTTCTTTACCTGTTCATTTGAGGAATGAGTGATCTTTTACCTGTCCCAACTGTTTTGTATGGTGAGGAACCTGGAAAGTTTTGTTTTCTGTGGTGTCTCTCCAGGTACACTTGGGATTTGGAGTTAGGTATACCTTAGAATATTATGTCTTGTTCTTTTTGACAGACAGGATGATGACCAGCCAAGGGGCTTATTTGAAAAAAATAATTAAAAAGAAAAGAACAAGTTTTTTTAATTGAAACCTTCCAGGGAAATTTTTACATTGATAAGGCATTCTTTTTAAACTAGACTTTATCAGAGAATTTTTCTAATACAAAAGTCTTGAACAGTTCTAGAGTGCAGTCACACTAGTGATATAAATGCACTTTATAAGATCAACAGCATATTAAAATTCAAGTATGCCAGTGAGGAAGAAAGATTTTGATAATATACTACAAACCTCTATGTCTTTTTCTAATTTTAACACTTCGCATAGCTGGCATTTCAGAATGACCAAGTGACTCTTAACATTATAGAAAAATGACAGTGTGATGAAATATGATACTTTTGATCCTTTGGAAGACTTAATAAAAGTAGATGACATTCAGGGTGAAAATGCGTGGGTTACTTTTTGAAAAAGGAGGTTAAGATATTTGCAGCCTGATTTATGCTCCATTCAGGTTTATAAAAGCTCTGTCCTTCAGTTTTATGTGCTTTATACTCACTTTCAAGGACCTTTGACAACCCTTTCCATGAAGAAATTTTTCCTAATATCCAATCTAAACCTCCCCTGGGGCAACCTAACCCCGTTTCCTTTTGTCCAATCACTTGTCACCTGGGTGAAGGGACCAACCCCTCCCTGGCTACAACCTCCTTTCAGGTAGTTGTAGAGAGCAATAAGGTCCCCCTGAACCTTCAGTCTAAACAGCTCCCTCATCCACTCCTCCTCGGACATGTGCTCCAGACCCTTCATCAGCTTCACTGCAGTTCTCTGGACACACCCCAGCACCATAATATCCTGGTGGTGAAGGGCCCAAAACTGAGAACAGAACTTGAGGTGTGGCCTCAGCAGAGCTAAGTACATGGGGACAATCACTGCCCTGGTCCTTCTGACCACACTCTTTCTGATACAGACCAGGATGCCTTTGACCTTCTAGGTCTTTTCTTCCAGGCCTCTTTCCAGTCACTCTTTTCCAAGTCTATAGTGTTGTATGGGGGTTTTGTGACTCAGCTGCAGGACACGGCACTCTGTCATCCTTGTTCTTATTTGCCAATTTCTGTTTGAATATTTCACTATACTTTCAGTGGGAAGGCATTTAAGATCCTTTAGCTGATATTGATTTCCTAGTTTTACCTACACCTTTTAGGACCCTTTTTATAACCCTATCCTGTCTGCAAATGAATGACCTCCATCAGTTCCCTATCATGATGGAACATGGTGCATAGCTCGCCAGAGCAACTGACTGTGCCTCACAGCCTTGTGGCGTAATGCAGAGTCCTGATTTCTGCAACCAGTCAGCACAGTGCAGTTGTAGTGTTCTCCATCAGTACCTCAGGGTCAATAACATCACCATCCCTTCTTCTTGATACTGCCTCAGCTACCTCTGTGCTGAACTGCCTTTCTGGGAGGTCTCAGGATGTTTATTCCATTTTTTTTGCAGCATTTAAACAAGGGACCAGCAATAGGAAGTACCCATTGTCACCGTATCATATCTTCTGTGTTGACTAGTGTTTCCCTGGTTTGTAAGACGAAATGTTGATGATTTCCACCTAGAAGCTAGTTTGCAGAGTCCTGATGACTTCTAAGGACTTGGTATCAGATGTGTATATGCCATCTTACCTGTTTTGAAGAGGATTTGCTCTTCTTCCCTTTGCGTTAGAAGGAAGAGGAGAGCTAAGCATGATACCTGGTCTCGTACAGGTCCAGTACTGTGATTGCCCCCAGCATGTCAATGCTAGGCAGTAGCTCTGGGACCAGCAGGGTTTCTTGCAGGCTCTGCAGTCAGGGTCGGTCTCCTCTGTAGTTTGTGTGTCTCCTTCCTGCCATTGCGCTGTGGCTGTGCTTTGCATGTGACTGTTGTGACTCCTCTAAGGAGTCAAAGCTCTGACCACACTGCAGAAGACTGCTGGTAGGAGTATTATGGCAGTGGAAAGGGTCTTGGTAGCCAACAGCTGACAACCAGAGGCTTTCAATATTCACCTTTTCAGCCCTCTGACAAATAAATCCTTCCTTGTTCTAAATGCTGTATATTTAAACTACTATTGGTTAACAGACCAGACAGTTATTTGCTCCTTTATTGCAGACATATTTTTATTATGTGATTGTGTGGACTTGTAAGTATAAAAGATAACTGATTTAAGCAAAACAGGTTTATTTTCCTGATTGACAGATTCTACCTGTAGATAGTTATGTGGTAGGACAGAGGTCAGTGGGCAAATATTTGTTTATGTAAGTGTGGCTGGGCTAAAGTCTATTCTGCAACTCTATTGCAGTTCACATCTGTAAAAGCAGAGCCAGCAGCTGGGAAACAGGTGTCTGTGCAAAGCTTTAATGGGCCCAACAAATCCAGTTCCTGATGGAGAAGGAAAACCCAAGTCATTAGGAACTTGATGCACCTGGTTTATGAGCTGTTAAATTTCTCTTTTTCCCTTTCTTTTGTCACATTACTTTGGAAAATAAATTTATTCAACCACAGTGGAAATCATGCTTTACAAATCATGCCTTACTGACATGCATTTACTGAGACTTTCATCAGTGCCTTTCAAGCCTGTCTGGAAAGTTTGAAAGCAGTCTATAGGCTGATGTTTCATGAATTTGCTAGTGAATGGAGTTCCAAGCAACAAACACAGAGGGAAAGCATTCTAGTAAACATTTCTAAATAGGCATTCCATGTATTTAATACTATTAAAAAGTCTTCAGACTAGCTTATCAACGCTGAGATTAAGTTATGTGATCTTTCCAGTTACTTTAGAATGTGTTGTTTGAGGTAGAAAAGATACAATAAACTACTTTGGCACTGCATCCTATTCACTCTCTTTTTCCATCTCACTGTCTGTATTGATTGTACTGTGTATTATTTTACCTTTTTCAACATAATGCACTAAGGTTTTATTTGACACACTATTTTTCTCACAAACTTCTTATTTTAATCAACACAGATAGCCAGATATTCCATTTCTAGATTTCTTAATTTTAGATATGTTGACAAAAAGAGTGGAAGATCTCATCAAAAAGTGAGCTATTATGCCAGGCACAAATGTAGCCATTTCAGCAAAACAACCTATGTCACATTTGCATCATAAGTCCAGACATTACTAAGAAAGATAGCTCTAAGTGAAATATCATTCAATATACTAAAAACTAGATAGATAAAAATACATTAACTGTAATTATTCTGATATTATTGTCATGTCACTATAATAAATTTTAATATCCACAGAAGTTATGTTCCTATAAAAAAGCAATTTGTCAGAATTACTGTGAAGATATATGTCAGAGAATTGAATGCTGCTTTTATATATTGAATGATTCCTTTTTGCCCCCTTAAGACTGAAGTACTCTCCTTTTTTTTCCATATTCATGTGCACATGTGCCATTTGTAATTGACAGGAATAGAGGCAATGCTGAACCCTTTATTGGGGTTTAATTTCTAAAGTAACAATAATCACGCAGCCCATTCAAGTCTCACATTGTCCCTTGGTTTGTTCCTACCCCTAGCCCCTCTTCAGGACTTCTGTGCTAATACAAGACCTTTCTCACTAGACAACTTTTCCCATCTACTCTATACTCAGGCTGTCTGCTTCAGTGGACTAGCAGAAATTGCTTAACACTGTTCTGGTAGACTCCAGACCACCAGGTGCATCTTATATGTGCTTCCAGTCTGTAAAGCTGGGACTAGAGCACTGTGGCTTCTGCTGCTACTCAGAAGAATTGGTGCAAGATGCAGAATTCTGAGAGACAAATTAAACCTGTGACTATCAGAGTTTCTGCTGACTCAGTTATCCATCACTTCCTTAATAATTTAAGGAATTTTAGGTTGTGATTGCACCTGGATTAGGCATCTGTCTACATCCTTAGGCTGTGTGGATCCCAAAGGATGCACATGTTTATAAAAACTGAAATTACCTGACAGAAGGCTGTACCTTGGCCAAGGTACATTTGACACATCCCCTATGCAAATGTCTAAAAGATTAGAGGAATAAATTTTCTGTCTAGTAATGCCAGGTTGTTGCTTGTCAAAAGGAACATACAGGTTTTAGCCCTCTATAACAGACAGAATGTCTTCTGTTACAGAAATACTACTTGGATGCCTTAATAGACAAAGGTGCATTTTCTTATGGAGTTTCACAGTGAGTCTAAGCACATGTCAGGACTTGCCTAGTGCAGCCTCTGATTCATTGCCTGGATAAGGCATCACATACATGACCTGTGCTGCTGTAACAATAATTAAAATTATGACGGGATGTTTCTTCCATATAGCTCTACTGTCAGAAGAGTAACTTTGCTTTAGCGGGAATTTTTCTGAGTCCATGTTGAATTTGGTATGGCAAATCTGTTCCTAACTGCCACTCTGTGAACCTGGTCAGAGAGAGACCAGTAGGTGTGTATTTGTGCTTAGTGCTTTTCATGGATTAAAAAAAAAAAAAAAAAGACAAAGGTGCATTCTGTGTGAATTTAGCTAGACTTCAGTAATTCAGACACTATGGAAGTTTGACCATTTTGTCTATTCATAAGATAATTTCTAGCAAATGAGACACATTACAACAGTATCCATTATTTCATAATGTGTTCATTGCATCTGTCATAAAAATCTGCATGTTTACATTATTTCATATTGTTGCCAGTTAATTTATGTTTTCTATCTGTGTTCAATTTGCATTCATTAACTCATAGTTTGCTGGTAAGTGTGTTCTTTCTATACATATTCAAAGAAATCTTTAATTCAATTTCTCTGTTTCTTCTCATACAGTCTCACAACCAGATATGCAACTCAGTCTAATCACAGTGGAATTGCAACCAGTCAAAAAAAGGCTTCTAGGTCAGTTAAATATCTCTAATTTATTGCTTGTAAGTGGTACCCAAGCAAGTATATGCCCACTGATATTTTATCCTTTGAATTTAAGCAGACACTACAATGTGTAATTTTTGTTATGTGTGCAAGCTTTACAATGATGAGCTTTACCACAGAAAAGCCTTGTATTAATTGACTTTTGGCCATTTGGATGATTTGTACTGTATATTAGCAATATTTCTGGTTGTTATGTACCCTGCATCTTTGTATCCTGCATGTGAAATATTGGATGTGAAGGATTAGTTGGTGATTTTAGTGCTCTGTACTCTCTGGCTCAAATCCTGACTTTAGTCATGAGTGAAAAGAAGTTTGGGAGTCCATTCCAGTTCCCACTAGATATTTTGCATGTATAGCAAACCCACCTGAAAGGTCAAGTTCACGGAGCCAAGTTTACTCAGAAGCAAAATAGAGCAAAAGAAAAAGAATTACTTCCAAGACTTCTGCTCCAACAAGAGTAGCCTGCACACAGTCCCCACGAATTAGATGCTTTGTTTTAGTAGTGAATTTGACAGAGCTGTGTGTAGGAGCTGATGTGTTTCAGATTTCATCTGTCATTCCACGAGCACTAAAATCTACAAGCCAGATTGCAGAAGAAAGAAGCTGAGGTCTGAAGCTTACTCTTCTTTCTCGCTTTTTTTTTTTTTTTTTCTTCTAGGGGGAGGGAATAATTAATGTGTTCATTAATTATGCCTTTGCTGTACAGTTCATTGGTGAGACCAATGAACTCTAAATTGCATAATCTACAATAAAGATTGAATTTTGCACTGTACAACACTAACACAATTTCAGTGGCTGGTGATAGCTTGAAATGAGCTATTCCATGGTCCAGTTGCTTTGCACCTGCATTTATAGGTCTTCATTTTCCTTATTGCTGATGCTCCTGTCTTGTCCACATTCAACTTGTCAAGGTTAACAGTCTTATTGTCTAATACTTTAAATCTGTGGCAGTGTTTCCGAAGGCTGTTCAGAGGTATGTGACTTGTCCCTTATTTGTTTTACTCTTCTTTGCATTTCCTTAGCTGCTTAACATGATTCTGCAAGAACAATTTAAAACCTGAATTCAATTTAAAAAGTCATCAAATGAGGTAAACTGGAAAGTGTGTAGAGCAAATGACCTCATGTATAATGTGCTTACTGTGGCAAGTTCTCGAATTCTGGCATGCAGAATATATGCAGAACTATTTTATATTTTAACAGAACAGATGAGTTTCCAGTGTTGCACATGCCTTTTCATTGCTTTTTTCATTACCTTTGACAAACGATCTCAGGGCTCTTACTGCCTGTCAAATTAGGGTAATGAGAAGGAGCAAATGGATTTTTAAGTTTGTTTTAGTGCATTCTTCAGGGAACAGAAGATCACTTGAATTCATGGGTCACGGTAAAGGTTAGCATGCATACAGCTGCAGAGCAGAGACAGTCTGCTCTGGGCTCGGCTCAGAGACTAGCAGGGCAGGCTGGCGGCCAGAATGAGCCATAAAAATAATGAATGGATTAGCTCTCTGAGGCTTAAACTGGTAAAGAAAGAGAACATGGAGCTGTTTACATATGTTCTCTAATGAAAATAAAATTATTCGAACATTTCTGTTATGCCAGTGTATTAAACAAACAAACAAAAAGTTTGCAAGAAATCAAATGTTTTGTACTTCTTTGTAATGTGATTTTTTTCCTCCCTTCTCATGCTGCTCTTTCATAATAGTGAAACTAACAGAATTAGATAATTAGTATAGTTTGTATTGCCATGATTAAAATCATCATGTCATTCCAATAAGAAAGAAACAGAAGAGAGATGCTCTTCTCCTATGGATGATTCAAGCAATTAATTTTGTCTAACAAATAACATAATAGTGTTATCTGTCTAAGAAATAACAAAACTGGAAAGGAGTGCCCACAAAGATGCTGCAGAAAGTTTGAAGTAGGCATGTACTAAGGAATCTTACATCAGAAAACAGATGTAGGCAGAAAAAAGATACATGCCAGGAACAACAGAGTCTACATTTTTTTCCTTAGCATAGCCACATGGTAAGGTTCAGATGGTGGCAGCAAATACTAAGAAATGAACTGTATAGTCTACTCTGTATACTTCTATATAAAAGGTATAAATGCATCTGTAGTATCTAGATAAAATGTGTATTTTCAATATTTTTCATTTATAATATTAAGGTGGGAGCACTTTAGCGAATAAGCCTCTGAAAAATAACTGATAAGGGTAACTAAAAAAGAAGCTTTTATGCTAAACACAACTGTGAGACATTTATTAGAGTAAGCGATATGAAATATTTCTCAACTATGTATTATTGTGCTTTCTAATCTATTTCTGCAACATTTGCCCTTCAAAAGCGACAGATTTTAATAAAGTTTGATATCACACTTTAATATTTTTTAGGGTGAATCTGTTTTAGCAATGTTAATGGCAAATGCAAAGCACCTTCTTACATGTCTTGTGACTCTATAAAGTGTCTTTTTCCCTTTTGTGTGCATAAGGATGAGCTTTTTTCATTTGTGGAGTCTAACTAATTTGAATCCTCCTGTTCATTGTTGCCTACCTGGATTCATTGTTTTCAGTTGTTGGTTTTAAATTCTGGTCTGATATTTGCATACTGTCTCCACTATATGTTGTATTACATAAAATGAACTGATTTCTTATCGTACCGTTCCAGGCTTCCAGGACCCTCACGAGTGCCAGCTGCAGGCAGCAGTACCAAAGTCCAGGGAGCTTCCAATTTAAATCGGAGAAGTCAGAGCTTTAACAGCATTGACAAAAACAAGCCCCCACAATATGCAAATGGAAATGAAAAAGGTAAGCGATTAGAAGCTACTAAGTTGACTCTATATAACCAACAAGAAAGAAAAAAAAAAACCAAACATCCACAAGGGTCAAAGAAGTGAATGTAGTGTTTAGACTTGACAAGGAACACCTATGGAAATTGGGGCCTGAATTAGGACTTGTAGTTCAGTTGGGATTAAAGTTCAGAAATAAAAACTTGCAAGATGTTATAATTGTATTTTATCCCTCTTTGACAGAAATATGATTGGGTGATTTTTCTAAAGTAAAAATGAATCCATACTAGATGCCTATAATCTTGTTCCATATTCAAGTCTACTCATACTCAAAGGAACACTACCATAATTTTCAGGGGACTTTGCACCTTAGGTTCTAATGGATAAGAATCAGAATATTGTATTTGCATCAGAATGCTGCATTCTTTAAGAACCTTACCTACTGTGTACATGATACTGAATAGAGGATTGGAAATTAGGTTTAGTGAAATTTTGCAGGGATTTGGATTCAGTGTTCATGTTTTATTGTCTCCTTTCAATATGAGCTTCCATTACAACAACATACTGGGTTCCCTGGGTCCTTCTATTTCTCTCACCGTGCTGCTGTTTTCCTGGAAAATATGCCTCTTCAGGCTTTATCTCAGAAAGAATAATGTAAAAATTCAGCTTTCTGAGTTGTGTAACTGATCCATCCCCTTCCTCCCCTTCTTTCTCCCTTTGTGTAATGAACAGCATTTTATTCATATCTCTGGGTTAGAATACAGTTGAAAATGATACAATATACATAGTACCCGTTTGCATCCTTGGGGTCTGTGGGAGGAACAAGTATGCAGTGAATGTTCTTCATCCAAGCAATAGGCAGCTATCCAGATTTTTTTTGCAAAACTCTGATGAACACACTTTGCCCCTAGCTGTATCTGAAGATATAAAACCATCCTTTCAGTAGTTATTTCTTTATTTTTACTATCGGGGTTGAATGTTTCAGATAGTTCTATAGTAGGTTTTATTTTACCAAGGACTTGTTTATGTCAAGACATCCAGGCTAAAACTAGAAAGAGATCAGAGTGAAAACTGAGCAGACACTGTATAGTTCACAAATACAATAGTGAATTTATGAAGTAGGAGATGTGGCTACTTGAGTGAAGGTATGTACAGCAGTTTAGGTTTTAGAATTTCTTCATAATGTTGACATGTTTGCTACTGAAATATGTGAGAGTGAAATGATTCAAGGTGAGACATGCTTGTAGCTATTGATATTCTTAGCTCATTACTTGGAAACTGTCTTTTGATTGCTAAGGTTTACATTGCATTGCACATTTATGTGGCTTTTGCATGATGGATTTCTTTACTTTCTTATTTCTTTACAGAAAAGAATGAGAATCTTGGTGAGATTTTTGTAGTGAAGTTATCACTTGCAAGAGGATAAAGGGTTTCTTTTTGTCTATAATAATTCAATTCATTTTACAGGATATAGAAGATGTAATGTTGCTTAACTAAGGAGTACTATATTTGAGATGTTTCCATCTGCTGTTTTTTTTTCCTGTCAAAACACTCAAATGGATAGAAAAATATTGATTTTACATGATAATCAGAGCCAAATAAAAGTCTGTTTTGGGGTATAAAGCAGAAGTTCTTTAGAGAAAATGACTACTGTGAGTACAAGAATAGCAAAGTGATAATTTTTGTAATATCCTAAAAGAACAGGAGAACCTGTGTTTGAGTACACCATGCTGCTACTTTGCCTGAAGAGAAAAACAACTGAACCAGGCTATATTTTAAATTTAGTTATTATAATGACTAATTTTTGAATATTACAATGAAACTTCCCAGTAGTCTTTTGATATTTTTTAAGTATTTGAAGATGTTCTGTAACCTGAGATCTTTGAAGAATTTATTTAGAGACAAACTTGAACCCTCCCAATAGTAATAATATAAAAACCCCAAAACTTTTACAATAAAAAAAGTGTCACCATACATTGATAAACTGATTTTTCCTTAAACATAATAGACCTTATATTTCAAATTTTACTTCTGATGCAGATACTTGGAGCAAGACAACTTTACAGCTTCCACTAAATAGAGACATAGTCCATATATTCTGATTTCTGAGATATAGATCATATAGTAAATAATTAGTAAATAGTTTGTAATTCTTCATTAGTGTTGCATAGATTGAAGCAGAAAAGAGATGACTTGTGGTAAGTAAATAGCCATTAGAGGTTGAGACTTCCAAAGCTCTTCAAGGGCAGACCACTGTTGTTACATTTTTCTCTTCTGTATACTAACCAGTACGTGCTATAAGGACACCTCAGAAAATATATACAGCATTAGGTTGGTGGTTTGTTTTTTGTTTGTTTGTTTGTTTTAATCCACTTATATGTAGTACTTGAAATTCATTTGTGTATAACATGGTTTCCAACTCAGTCACAGTGGGGAGTGGATATGTAATCACAGAGTTAAAGGAGACCTGAATGTGATCCAAAATAAGGTGTGATATATGTCTTTATTTAATACTTTATATATATTAGTATAATTAGTATATAAATATACTAATTTATTTAGTCTCTCATTAATATTATCTTCTTTGAATGTTGCCTAAGGAGTAGTTCAGCACAGGAGGAAACCTAGTGTCCTTGAGCAAATGCAAGTTTGCTCTTTTCTGGGCAGAGCCCAGTTTTTAGGGACAGACAATCCATTACTGTGACACAGATAACTGTGTGTAACTCTCTTTAAGTCAGAAACATAGAATGCACCAAAACATTAAAAAAACCATTAGCTGAAACTTGCTTGTGGAGCTTCAGTGAGGTCTTTTTTTTTGCTGTACTTTGCAGCTTACAGATCAATTTCAAAGAACATGTCTGTTTTCCAGATATGTCAGATCTACCTGCTTCCAACTTAATAACATAGAGATGGAAATAAGACTAGAAAAATTAAACTATTTGAATAAATTAAATATTCAGAATGATAATAAGGTGGATACCCAGGGCTTTTTCAGTACAGCAAAGTAATGTTCTAATTCAAGTCACATTTTAAAAACAAATCTTTACCCTTTAGTCTTAGAAACTGTGTATCTGAACACTTATAAGTGTCTTTATGTCATGGAGTTTAATTACCAGCTTTTCAAAATAATTTAATAATATAAAATGGTGTTTGTGTATTCTCCAAACTTGATTTTAACAGTATTAGGTTATTTTACCTATACCAACTCTGAGAAACTCTGCCGTGGAACTCTATTGTCCAGTGATGGAAGTTGTTAATCCATGGCCAGTATGTAGATCTGTAGCTCATTGTGTATGTTCCTTCTGGTGCCAGTGTTTTTCCAGTTGTTCCTAGTCGTGTTCTCCTCCTGTGCTGATAAGGGCTAGCTACTTTCTCACGAACAGCCTGAAAGAGAAAGTTGAACAAGCTGAAGTCTTGTTCATGAGAGGCAGTCTCATGAGATAGACCTCCCATTCCTCCAAACACCCTTATAGCAACCCCTTGCAGCTCTTCCATTTTCTACTAACCATTTTTATTGTGAGTGACTAAAAGTGGGTAGTCTGGACCTAACTTTGCTGTCATGATGGAGCTATTGTCACAGAGGTCATCTTCTCCAGCATCACAGAACACAGCAAGGGTCATGGATGAGAAGACAAAGGAGATAATATATTGGGTCCTAGTTCAACTCTTTACATTGCCCTTTATTTGTGAAACAGCCTATGAAAAGTGAATTTGAAATGTCTATTCAGTTGTCATTTCCTTGCTGGGTTCTAGAAGAAATTTCTCGTTTTGCACTGAACACCCAGGGGTGTTGCTGCTGTGCTTTTACAGTGGAGTTTGGGCTGAGCTCTGAAGCACTGAGTTCTTGAGCAGAATGCAAAACGGTTTCCAGTACAAGCTGATGATGCATTCAGCTGTGAGGGGTTAAGCCTGAAACAGAAGACTGTCTTCTTGATAAATTTAGTTTACAGAAATAAGAAATCCTTGTCATAGGTTGGGTTCGCTCTGTCTCAAAATCACCACAAGGTGGGGACAGGTTTCATGTAATGAACAGCTAAAGCCAAGCCCAACTGAATGTGCAGAAAGAAGTTAATTATGTGCAGCTTCAAGTAATGCATTTGTGCTGAGGGTGAAATAGATCTTTTAATTCCACCTATTCATACATACAAACAAGTTCTCAATATTCCTTGAGAGCATGCAGCACATATTCCTTGCAGAAATATTAAGGATACCCTTTAAATTGAAAAATAAAAGCAAGTTAAAGTTCTCTGTAATTTTTTGTTGCTGTTTATGTTTTGTGGCATAGAGATCCAATAAATACCAGTGGCCCCAGGAACCTGTGGGTTTTTGCTATATGTATGCCAGAGTAAGCTGTTGATGAAATAAACAAAAAAGTAAATACTCTTCTTTTTACATTTCCCCCCTCCCCATGAGTTTAATATTATATAGCCAGAAATATGGCAAGGCATGCGTTCTTCTTTTTAATCAGCATGCTTTCAAATTTTTTTTTTATTATTATTTTTTGGAGTAAAACTAATAGCCTGAAGCCATACGAATGTAACATAACTAATACGACAGAATGTAGTGGCATCCCACTGTTCACAAATTTTGCATGTATTTTGCATTAGCTTTGAATATTCTTATCATGAACTGTTCTTCTGCAAAACTATTGATATAGCTTAAGACCCCAATCCTCCTCTGTATTTAGGGCAAGCTTAGTGAAAGACAAGATGTGTGCAAAAAGGTCCTTGTACACACCCGGTTCTGGGCTACTAGCCTCTGGGGCTGATTCCTGATATAAATTAAGGAAGTCTGAGGGCTGCAGGCATTTCCAACAGTTGTGGTCAGCTCCAGGCGCTCTTTTTTAGCATCTGAGGCTCACCAGATAATTGCAGGATGCCAGCCACAATTCCTGCCTTGGTCCCAGGGGAGGGATCAGCTCTGCAGCTGCCCACCAAAGGTGCTCCATGGTGTAACTTGGAGCCTGGAGAATATGCTGTAACCTCTCGTGTCACAAAACATACTCTGAAGCAACCCTTTATCAGTTAATGTTTTCTTGCCTAGAGCAGGACTCAACAGAACAGCTCAACCTTCTGTGAATGAGCTCGTTTACAGAATCACAGAATCATAGGATGCATAAGGTTGGAAGGGACCATAGGTCCAATCTCCCTGCTCAAGCAGGATCATCCTAGAGCACATGGCACAGGATTGTGTCCAGACAGTTCTTGAATATCTCCAGTGAGGGAAACTCCACAAACTCTCTGGGCAATCTGTTCCAGTGTGTGGTCACCTGTACAGTAAAGAAGTTCTTCCTTATATTCAAGTGGAACTTCCTGTGCATCAGTTTCTGCCCACTGCCTCTTGTCCTATTGCTTGGCACCACCAAGAAGAGCCTGACTTGACGCTCTCCCTTCAGAGACTTGTACGCATTGATGAGGCCCCCTCTCAGCCATCTCTTTTAGAGGCTGAACAGGCCCAAGCCTCCCAGCCTATCCTTGTAAGAGAGATGGTCCAGTCAACCATTTAGCACTGTGGAGATTGCATATCAGGCTGAGGAGCACACAAAAGACCCTAGGCAGATGGAATTATATGGCATCTACTGAAGGTGGAGTTGATTGGCCACCTGGGACCAGTTGCTAATAGAGTTAAACTAATAAAAGACCTTACAGTGTCTGTCATGGTACTTTTGCTCATACATTTTTAAAATATTTTTAAACTACTTCTTAGTGCTATTCAGAGCAGTAAATTTTGCTGTGTTTGCCTTCTCTTTGTTAAATTAAAAACAGCTCTAGTTTCAGTATGCTCAAATTCCATCTTTCCTAAATGTATTAGTGACCTTCAGAGTTCCATAAGGGTAGTCTAATCTTTACTAGGCGGGATTGCTGTTACCACTTCATTTCTCTGGTGCTCCAGAGTAATCATGTTTAAATATTCAGATGTGTCTTGGGAATCTGAACTTCGTACAGAAGACCTTAACCCTTTCATGCCTTAGTCAGTTTTACTAAACTAGGCTGGATGACTTTTTTGAAAATCACAGCTTTTAATTCGCAGAGTTTGATTAGTGCAGGAGTCTTGCTCTCATTCTTTCTGAAGATTCACCAAAGTTCCTGGATGATGTAAAGGTAGTGAATGTGCCAGAGCCATGTAAACAAGCCTTTTGTACCTACCTGAGCTTCAGGCCTAAAACAGCTATTGTTGCTGTACCCATGAAGGTGATATATCAGTGTAACTTTCTGGTACTGAAACTGGTGAAATTGCTGATAAATTTTTTTCCCATCTATGAAAGTTTTCTGAGATAGGTTCCTGAAGTCAGCTACTAAATATTATTAACTATACTTAAAAGTAGAAAAAAATATTCACCTTTTTTTGCTTTTGTGAATATTGATTTTATCCATTTAATTTTAGTATTAGTAATTATTAGTATTTAGTCCTTCTCCTGCTGCCCAAAACTTTGGCTTTCTAGCACATATTTTAATTTCACTAAACATCAAACCCATCTTTGGTTTTGTTTTTCTACCAGAATTTTAGTATTCTTTTTTCTTCAACATCTCAGTGGTTTATATTTGTTCTTTTATTTGGAAGAATTTCTTTTTGGCATATTAAAGATAAAATCTTAAATTGCATGGCTTGATTTGCATAAGGAAATGGTTGTAAGGAAGGTGTTTCCGAGGTTTACTTGAGCTCATGGAAGTACTGAACAACACCATGGTGATGGGAGGAAAGAAAAGTACTTCCTATTATCATGTTCCATGCCCATATAAATTATGTTTATTATAGATCTCATATAAGTGTGTTTTAGATGCCAGAGGAGTATATCACCTCCAAGAAGGAGATGGAAGAGTAACTATACCACTATGTTTTTTTTATTTTTCTAAAGCAGATTCACCAAAAGGCCCTCACCCATCTGCAGGCATGAATGGAAATGTGCAGCATCCCACCAGCACTGGGCAGCAGCAGGTCTCTGCCATACCCTCTCCAAGTGCCAGCAAGCCTTGGCGCAGCAAATCCATGAATGTCAAACACAGCGCGACCTCTACCATGCTGTCTGTGAAGCAGCCTAGTCCCGCAACCTCCCCTACTCCAACTTCAGACAGGCTCAAGCCACCACCTTCTGAAGGTGTGAAGCCCCCTTCGTCTGGACAAAAATCTATGCTGGAAAAATTCAAGCTGGTTAATGCTAGGACTGCTCTGAGACCTCCTTTGTCACTGAGCTCAGGACCCAGTGACAGTGGGAGAGAGGATGATACCTTTTCAGAGTGTGGTGAAACCGATGTCTTAAGTGGTGGGGTGAACAGCGGCGGCTCGACAAGTAGCAGTCCTAAAGTATCACCGAAGTTAACCCCTCCGAAAGCTGGCAGCAAAAATCTCAGCAATAAAAAGTCTTTGCTACAGCCAAAGGACAAAGAGGAAAAGAACAGGGACAAAAACAAAGTTTGCACTGAGAAAGCAGTCAAGGAAGAGAAGGATCAGGTTATTGAAACATCTACGAAGAAGAGCTCAAAAATTGCAAGCTTAATCCCAAAAGGAAGCAAGGCAACAGCAGCCAAGAAGGAAAGTTTAATATTATCTTCTAGTGGGATCCCAAAACCTGGATCAAAGGTGCCAACAGCAAAGCAGAGCACTTCCTCCACATGCACGGGAAGTAAGGAGGTTGAAAAACTGAGGACTACAAAAGGAAACCAGTCCCAGTCAACAGCAAAATCTCAGCTTAGCGAGAAGGCTTCTCCTTCCTCTGGTCTTGCTTCTTCTGAAGGGAAGGAGCCAAGTGCAGGATCCTCTGCAGCTCTGTCAGCCTCGATGGCTGCAAGTAGTGGTCAAGGCACAGGAAATGGTGTTGTCCAGCTTCCTCAGCAACAGCAATACAGCCACCCCAACACTGCCACAGTAGCTCCATTCATTTATAGGTAAGGTCATGGAAGAAAATTGTTTTCCTGCTACCATTTAGGAAAAAGAACTAAAATGGATAGAGTAGTGGTGGATCATGCTGTTACAGTTCTTATCTCCCAGTTTCTGTCACAACATCACAACAATGTTTTCCTAGTATCATTTTTTAATTGATGTTACTGTATGAAAAAATTCTTCCAAGAACTATGAGTCTCTACCTTGTACAAAAGCAATCCACTGCAAATATTTGCCATTCAAAATTCAGGGTGTTTTCATTAGAAATACAAATCATAGGGTACATTGTCTGTGCTGCTTTTGAAAGGTCATAGCTGAGTCTGGGTTTGTAGTGGGAATGTTTTTGTTAGCATTTTAAGAATCTCAACATATATTTGCTGATATTTGATAATATTTGCTTAAAATACACTGTTCTCTTAAAAAATCCTAAAATAAAACTGCTAATGTTTTCAGAATATGTAACAGTACTGGTAGGATATTTAAAGAAAATCCATACTCAAACTTTTATAAGTATTCAAAAATATTTCAACACTTTGGGTAGACAGAGAAGGTTACTCTTTGCAGATCCTTTTCCTGTTTAGTTTTTTACATGAAATAGGTGTATGCTATGGTGTATAATATACATTATACAGGTAACTACCATGAAGGCAGTTAATTTTTACAGGCAATAGTAACTCTTCAGATGTCCAAGACTCTGGAAGAGAAGAATGAACAGTTAAATGTTCTAGCATCAAACTTTGAATTTATTTTTCTGTATGATAGAGTAAATGAAGGGAAGTTGGGAGATTTCACTGTTGTACAGCTCAGTAGACAGGGTAAGTGTAGAAAGATTGACAGGCTGGTTTGAGTAATGATTTCAGATGTCAACTGTTGAAGGGCTTTAGCTACAGTTGTGGGTAAATTTAACATCTGATAAAATGACAAATTCATTATTAAGCAAAATATACTGGTACTTTTTGTTAGTGAGTAGTACTCTAGATAATCTTGGCTAAAGATTAAAGAAGTGGTGATGTAGGCTCTGAGGGAGTATATATATCATTGGATATAACTAAATATAGCTTCAAAACCAATCTGGATGAGTGATAAGTTCAGAAAATTATATGGGATGGAGAAAAGGCTCAATATAGGTTATATTTATTCTAATATGCAGAGGATAGCCTCTTGAGTTTTAAGTAGATCTGTTACTGGATGTACTTAATGTGCATGTGTCTCTATAACTATCTGGAATAACATCAGTGATACACAGAATTTGTAGTGTTGTACATAGGACAGCCTACTTATGTATTAGGGTACATATATAAGAAGAGAGAAAAAGAAGCTAAGCTTTGCCTTCAGTTGTATGTGCTATTTAATGGTAATTTTGCTATATATTAATGCCATTTCATTGCGTGGTGGAGATATCATTCCTTTAAGCTTCATCATGAAGCAAAAATGTATTTTGAATTTTAAAGGGTGATAGAAATGCATCTTCCAGTAAAATTTGGTATTAATAATTATCTGTTTGCTTCTAGCAAGCAGCAAAGGAGACTATTTGAAGTTAAATCTCACAAGAAAATAAATTTTTCAGAGCCAAAGTCTGATCTCAGAATACCATACACCCAGAGTAATAGACTGACTTTGATGAGGCTACTTCAATATGTATCTCTGTAACTGAGAGCAGAATCTGACTCAAAAATAGTCAGTAACCACATTTCTTAGAAATCTCAAGGGCTTTGTAATACCACACAATGATTTCATAGAAGAATATAAATATAACCAAGGATAAAATATCCATATTTTCAAAGTCAGCATATTTATTTTTGTGCATATATGGTAGGTGGAAATGAACATGAGCTGGGGTATTGTAGCTACATTTTCTTGTTCTTAAACATAGTTATTTTCTGAGACACCACAATTTATACACTGAATTTTCGTGTTTCCTTGTTACAACTTTATATGAGTTGATAAACAATAGTTACCATCCAGACTAACAGGTCTTTTTTCCAGCTAGAAGGAATATCTAGGCTATTTAAGTTTGTGCTGCAGTTGTTGTAAAAAGTGTCAATAAAATTTAGTAAAAATACCATGGTTTTTATCCAGAATCCTGCAGAATCTTGCAATATACTGGTGTGATCAGTTTAGACTGATAGCACAAGGATAAGTAAGCTAGCAGTTTTTCTGGTTTGTTGCTGATACCTGCAGATATAATATATTTTGGAGTGTTTGTTATTAAAGAGGACATTACTGTAGATTTGTGAGTAAAAAAAAAAGTATTCCAAAAAGTTTGTTTGAGACTGCCTAAATAGAGAATGAAATCCTGTAACAGTTATCATTACTCATGTTTTCAAGGAGTTGTATATTTTTATTAATTGACAGTAGGTGGAAAAATACTGTTTCACTGGCAAGTTCTCAAATGAAATATTGCACTATTTAGCTTTGTAGTCTTGGTGCTTTCTCTTGTCTGATATCCCACTGTATTTTTATTCTTAAACAACATGGTGTGGAAATTCATTTGGAATTATTGCTTCTCTTCAAAGATTAGCTGCAATAGTCAGAGTTGCGTCTAAGTGGGTATATTTTAAATTCTTCCATTATTCTCAGCAAGTGATTATTTATTTTAAAACGTGGTTGTGAATGTATTATTTATAGTCCCTTATGTGTCCCCTCTGAAGCTGACTGCAGGATCCAACTGATATAAGACTAAAGTAGATGTAATTTAGTTGCCAGAAAGCTTGAAAAGGAAAAAAAAAAACAAACAGGAAAGCTAAAAGGAAGGTGTAAGAGACTGTAAACTATTTAAAATACACCAGACTTTACAAATTACACATTCTTCTACAAAGACAAAATTGGAGGAAGATGGAAATTGTGCCATCTGCCAGAGTCCCTTAGACTTGTATTGAAATTGACCATGGAATTTAGCTGTCGTTCTAGTGATACTTAAATTTCAGATGAAGAAGAGTAACAAAGAAGTTTAGTACTTACTACTCTACTGTGAAAACAAGGGAAAAAAGGATAAAATAATGCAAATAGAAAAAATCTGAGTCTGTCTCCTAAAAACTTGGCAAGAGAATAACAGGTTAATTGATCAGTATTTGATGTTCTTAACTTTCCTACACATTGCTCAAAAAGTGGAGTATAACCTGCAATTCCAAACTCTTTCCTAGAGAAGAGCCTGTTGTATGCAATCATTGCTTCTTTTTTTTTGAGCCAAATTGTATAAGTTTGAATTATTTCCATGAAATGGGAAACATAACCAGTAGTCCCAGTAGTAACACAGTATCTCCTCACTTCATGGGGCAAATCCTTATTTGATGCAAATTATCATAACCCTGCATGAAGCACGTGATATGTTGGAAATTAGTGTTTGCTTTGGATTTTCTTAAACGTTAAAGGAGTATTTCAGTAGGAGAACGCTGAGTTGTAATTTGATGCATGTACTGCAGCTTATTTTATGACTACTTCAGTAACAACTGTAGGAGCTTAGTAGGTCTCTTTTCCGTGGATGAAAGATAAAATCTGAAGTGCCCAAATCCCAGGGACTTTGGTGCTCAGGAATTGCTTATTGCCTGAAATGCTGAAAGTTTAGAAACTGCTGCAGAGAATTAGATGACTACTCATCATCCTGAGCTGCACCTCTAATTGTGACCACTTCCCCTGGGGAGCCTGTTTCAGTGCTCCAGCACTGTCTGAATTGGGACTTTGCAGAGTTACTCTTTGAGGGACAGTGCTGGACTACAAACACTAGTTTGACCCTCCTTTTGTCCTTGAAGAGTAAGAAACTGGTAGCTTCGGCTACCTAATAGGTTGGTGTAGAGAAGATGGTGCCAGATTCTTCTCTGAAATTCAGGGCAAAAAGATAAGAGGTAACAGATGTAAGTTACAGCAGGGGAGGTGCTTGAGGGTGGTGAAACACTGGTGTAGCCTGCCTAGTGATGTTTTGGAATCTCCATCCTTGGGCATGTTCAAGACACAACCAAACAAGGCTCTGAGCAACTTGCTGTAACTAGACCTGCTTTACACGTCATTGGACCAGATGGCATCTAGAACCTGCTTCTGATCTAAATTACTTACGATTCTATGAAGACTAAAGTGTTCACTAGAGAGAGGCAGGAAAAGGAAATATCAGGAATTCATAAGCATGTAAATTCCATGCTTGATTTACAAACAAAGGAAATACTAAAACTTTCTTCCCAACTCCTTTACTATATGGTGATTGAAACAACTGTTTGCTAGGCCGTAGCTTCAAGGTTGCGTAGGAAGTGCAGAGCAGTGACAGATGGGAAGGAGGATATAGTCTGCTTGTACCTCTGGAAGCACAGTGAAATTCAATTTCAGTAGCCTCTTCAGGATGTTTTTATACTGTCTTAGGGAAAAAATTAAACTACTCTTCAAGGATCCTGCAAACATAGCATCTGCAGGGTTTATTGAAGCCATATTTATGTCCACTTTTAATGACTAGAAGCTACTTCTAGTCACTGATTGTGGAGTGGAAACTAAGTTTTCAGTAAAAAACATTCTGTCCATTAATTGTGTTTGTTAATAATAGATTGTGCTGCTGAACATACTGCAACTCTCTCTTTAAAAATGTAAGGATTCAAAGTCATACTGCAGTGCTTTATTGATTTCTGTTATTTACATTTCATGGCTAGGCTTACATTACTGCTGTGAAAATAAAGCAACAGTCACCACCAGAATTTTGCAGTTGTAGGTAGTGGTAAACATTGACACTCACAAGCTTTCCTTGTAGCACACTCTTTAGAGAAATCCTTCCACTTTTCCATACTTGATTTACAATTAATTGTGCAAGAAAGGTTTCAAGTGTGGAGGTGTTGACTTAAGAGATGGGAAGAACGATAATAATTGAAGAAATCGTTATAAATGCATACTTGATTAATACTGAGTTAAAACAGTAGCTTGACAATTCAGCTGTTTTCTCTTTATGATCTGAAGTTATTCTTTTAAATTGCCATATCAACAATGTAGCCTTATTTCTTTGACTGAATAATCAATAAAATGCAGGATAAAGGACCTAAAAGAATACTCTGTTTAGGCTTCTGTAACTGGTAACCATATTAACCCTTTCATAACCTAACTAAATTTTATTTTAATTCACACTATTCCAATTGGAAGGTTCTTCCAGAAACTCACTCATATAATTTTTAGAAATTTTTTACATCCCACATGATGAGATTGCATTAATTTATTACTTTGTTAATATTGTCCTTTAACTTAACAAGTTGTTTTCCCTCTTTTTCATTGCTCTTTTTAAATATGAGGGAATAATCCCATTTCCTTCCTTACAAGACTAAACCAAATCAACTCTTCCTTTTTTTTCCCTTCAGAGAGTTTCATCTTTTCAGTGAGCATCCTAGTAACCCTTCCTTGCATCTGTTCCCAGTTTAACTCACATGTCTTGAATGTGGGTGATTAAGCTGCTAATATTCCAGATGTGGTCCTGCTGGTCTGTTACACTGACAGGGATACCCATTCAAGACAGCTGCATCTCAGACAGCTGTTGGAAAAATGCCAGAATATTTACCTGACATCTTTTGGAATGTTGATTAAAAAGCAAACAAATCTTTGACGTTATCTGTGTTTATCTAATATTAGCTATTTTGTTAGAGGCAGGAAATGGTTGATTGTGTTAAAGACCACTTATTAAGTAGTGTTTAAAATTCTATTCTTAATTACCCCTGTATAGGCTCATTTTAATCAACCTGAATAAGTTTGTGCAGGTGCAATTGAAAGCAGAATTTGTCCCATTAAGTGAGTTTGATGCTCTTACAAATAGGTAGCATGTAACTCAGTGAGTTCAGGATAAATAAATTTTCTGATTGCCATGATTAAAAATAGCAAGCAGATTGTCCTGTTTTCATGAAGGTTGCCTAAATTAACCTGCACTGCAGATGCGCAGCACTGGAAGGAATATCAGTGGGCTGGCTTTGACTAAACAGAAATTCTTTTCCCTTTTCTTTATATCAAGAGAGATGCAAGAATTTAATTATTTTTTTATGGCAGTGGACTATGAATGGGTAGAGGACAGAGAGATCATTCATTAAGGCCATTGTGTAAGGTTAGTGGGAAGATAATTTAATTTGCTGTTTGCTTGCTTTGAGCTTAATCTGTGCCGCAGTCCTGCAGAGATCACTTGAGTCATTCATAGCATTAATATGTCCCACAGAAAGTTAAAGCCAGAAGTATAGCAGAAGACAAATCTTACAATTTCACTTTCCTTTTTTTTTTAAAAATAAATGGTTGGTCTAAGAAAAGAATCATCTACATTCTTGGTCTGATGCATCACAACCTATGACAGGTCTAGAACAAAGGAACTTGACATTTTAGGTACCCAGTGTATATCTGGGCCTCCTTGTTCCCCAAAAGCCCCAAAATCTTACCTGATTTTGCTTGGAAATCTGTCACCCCTAGACCATTCTCAGCCCATCTAAGCTTGGCTAAGCTTCATCCCAGGCTAAGCTCAACTCCAGAGAAAAGCAGGGCCTTGGCCATCATGCACAAAAGGCAGGGCTGCTTTTCAAGTGCTGACAGTTGGCAACTCTGTGGAGACCTGGTGGAAAAAGAGCTATTGATGAGAGACCTGCTCCCTGTTTCCTACTTGAGGTATCTCCATCACAGCTGCCCACGGGCCAGTGCTTTTTAGTCTGTCTGATTCACAATAAATAACCAGCTTTCTCAAGTAAGCAGAACATAGACTGCTGCAAAATCCATAGTCTTCCGTGGGATTTCTGCTATTGCCCCAGGCAATTGGAATAATTGATTTCTTTTACCAAATTAAAGATAAGAATGATGAATGAAGCTGGTATAGCACTTTTTTGTTATTTGTTTTGATTGCAAATCACATTTATTTACATTACACTCAAATTTTCAATTTTCAAGGGAGATAAAAGAGGAATTTCACACTTATTAGATCTGTTATTTCAGGCTGCCTATAAATTTAAGAAAATAGCATCATATATACATTTGGGTTATGTCTCCATGGGGTTTTTAAAATACAAATTAAATTAAACATTTTTAAATTATTATTGTTATATGGTCTTTGCTATTCACTATTTTTACTTTAAGGTTTAGGTTCTAGTGCCATCCAAAGTCCCAGAAACTGGATTTTTTGCTGCAATTAATCCCAGCAATCAGATTCTAAAATTTGGACTGGAAATCTTTGCAAGTATCTCTTCTTGCAGTGTTTTTCAAATATCTTCCCGGTTATAGCTGCATCAGGGTTTTTCAAATAGAAAAAGAGCCAACAAAACACTGAAGAATGGAAATGTGCTTTATTAGCATTTAGTATATCTCTAAAAGTTTCAATGTATTCTGGGCAAAGTTAAGAACTAGTGAAAAATTGTATTAAGTTTTATTTTAATTAGATAGATTCACACATAGTGAATCTTAATCGCTGTGAGTCACTCATTACTTGCTTGTACTCTGGGAGGGAGATCCAGTCCTTCTAACATAAGTATCTATGTTCCCATACAGTCACAAATGAGCTATATTTTTATCTGTATTGGCATTATGGGCAATAGTCACTACCAGTGGGCAATCTAGACCATTTCTTCACTGAAAGAGGGGCTAAGCATTGGAAGAGTCTCCCCAGGGAAGTGGTGGAGTCACCATCCCTGCAACTGGATATGGCACTTTGTGATATGGTTTAGTGGGCATGGTGGTATTTAGGTCAAACGTGAGACTTCCTGATCTTGGAGGTCTTTTCCAACCCTAATGATTCTATGATTATGGTACTATGATTAAAGTTCTGTGTTACTCAGCCTCATTCACTAGATGAAGAATTAGGGCAAATGTTGGGTATTGTTAACCAGTGGGGCCCAGACCACTTAATCCTTTTCTGATGATAGATGTCCAAATAAACAGGAACAGATCCTTTCTGTTCTATGTTGGAAGATAGCTTCACCCTTCTAATTTGATGCAGTGACTGATGTTTGAATAGTTGTACAGTCAGGAATGCAATGCCACAGAGCCAGAAGGAGAACAGGTAAAAGGGATCCCTTTTTGTTTCTAACCAGAGACAGACTGATGCAAATTCCATATACATTTTTTGTGGAGAACGTTAGGAATACTTGAAGTGCACCCTCCTAGTTGAATGCTCTTCCAACAAAGCTAAAAACCAACCTACTCTCTCCCAGTGTTCCTCTTAACAAATTCCAACCTCACTCTGGCTCCAGCCCCAGAAGCTATGTGATTTTGGTTTATCAAAAAGAGTGCAGACCAATTACCATTATCATTATTATAAGTGCCCCTTTTTGAGATATGTTTTTGAGCTGATGGCTTGCCGTGGACTGGTCCTGCACTAAGTTTCAGCACTAAGCCCAGACATGAGTGCTCATGAGGATTCATGGCTTCTCAAAGTGGCTTTCAGTGAAAGTAGACATACCCCTCATTCATTCTGATAATTTAAAGCCCCATTTAAAGCAGGCAGGACTGTGGAATTTCAGGGTGTATTCACTGCAGGGGGTAGAGGGAGCTTTTTATAACTTAAGACACTCTCCTCTCAAGCATCAAATGTTGAATTACATTCAAGGATGGCAGGACATAATTAACCTTGCAACATGTGCTGAGCTTGCATTTCCAGTAGCATGTGGTAGAAAACAGCCCAAAATAGTTTTTTATAGAGCAATTTTCTGTTTCCAGAATCCAAGAGAACAGAAATTGATAGGAAAGACAGTGCATCCGATCAGGCATAATTTACATTTCTATTCCTAAGTTGAATGATTCTAATCAATGGATTCCACCATGTCAGTACATGCTGCTCTATGTACAGTTATCTGTTCCTTCAGTTACTGTTGTGAATTACTGAATAAACACATTCAGTAAGTAACTTTAAAGAAAATATTAACTGGAAAGTTATTTCATAAAATAAGTTACCATAAAATTATTTTGAGAGATAAGTCACTGGTTTTATGAGTTTTATTTATAAAATACACATTCTTCACACAGTTAAATGTTTTTGTTTTGATTTAATTGATCATTGGAAACATTTTATGGTGAATTTTGGGAATTGAGCTATAAATGTCACCTTTTAAAATTAGAATATAAATATTTCACTAGTCTTTTAATAAATCAGAAGACTATACTATTCATGTCAGGAAAGCTGGAAGAACTTAAGCTCTAAGTGAAGATCTTTTCCCATTTTATTTCAAAAAGTGGATAGTATATCTTTAGATGTGTTCTTTTGCTCTATACACATGTGGTACATGTTTCTATTTAATGACATCACAGTTCAACAGTTCCATTGTAAACTAGATGCTACAACTGTTCCTTAAGAAGAGACAATGTGTGTGATGCATTTGGTATTATAATCCATGTGCTCATGTATTTCTTACTAATTTACCTTTATGTAACAGAAAATAACTGTATTCAACAAAGGGTACCTATTATAATTTATTGTTGATAGTCACAGAAATTTACCTTCAAAGAAAATACAAACTATTTGTTAGCAAGTTGATGGAAAAACTTGTATTATCCCATTTCCCCAGTTATATAAGTGGCATTGTCAAAATAAGCTGCACATAGATTTAGATATCTGGGCCGTATTTCCATTCCAGACTTGCATTGCTTTTTCCCGCATGGCCTTTCATACTTAATATTTCATCAATTACAAGTTTTCATTTCCCTTATATATGTGCAGGGATGTGACTTAACAAATTTAAATGGATTCTGCCTGGATATGATTGACACTTCTTGAAGAATAAAAGTGGGGAAGCAAAATGGCTCCAAATTTCCCAGCATTAACTATGAGTTGTTCCTGAAGAGAGAGAGTTCCCAGTTACCTGTAAATTTATGTAGGCCCAGTTAAACCAGCACAGTAACGATGTGACAAAAATGGTATTTCCGCCCTTTAGTGATATCATTCTAGATGGACCTGCAAGTAACATTTGATTCCATTAATACATGAATGATAGACAACAATAATCAACTTCTTGCTTGATTTCAGAACTCTCTCAGAAAATGACAGTACCTCTTTACCAACTGCTGACTCCTGCACCAGTCCTACCAAAATGGATTTGTCGTTTAGTAAGACTGCCAAACAGTGCCTAGAGGAGATATCTGGTGAGTAACAGTAAGTCTGGAGAAGATTGTGAACTTCTTTATTTACATCTGTCTCTTAGCAGCATGAGTTGAAATAATACTTTTGACCTCTCATCATGAGTGGTATTAAATATGCAGAAAATTAGGGTCGCACACAGTTAGTGCTTGAAATCCACAGTTCTCTTATTTGAATTGTCTCCTTCTGTTGAAATACCCTTTCCATCATTTTGCAGAAACTGGAATTTCACAAGCTATGGTTTCAAGTAATTATTATTTTATTTAATCAAACGGAATATTCCAAGTGGAGCGGTGGAGTTGACTTCAGAATGTTTAACACTTGCATTTAATATAATCAAATTAAATCATAACATCAGAACTGAGACATAAATTGTGTAAGACCTATTTTGCCTTTATAAAACAATCTGTATTCAGAAAATGAACAAGTCCTCAGTCTTGTACCTGACTTGTAAGCTGCTGCTATAGCTAAGCTGCTAAAGGTTTTGTTCTGGAATTCCTTGTAAACATGGAATAAAGTCCTTACTAGGTTACAAATGTGAGGGGATTTTTTTTTTTTTTAATCATAATGGAATAATTCCTTTGAAGTCAACAGAGCCGTGCTGATTTAGATCAGCACGAGATCTGGCCATGACTCTGCCTATGGATGCAAAAGTGAAGTGTGTCACTGCTGAATTTCTCATCAGAACTCAATTGTACTGCATGCAAGCACTTCCAAAGGGACTCTGCCAGAGCTGGTTGAGGAGGGGCTCAGAGTTTATTTCTTGTTGGTTTTCTGTTGTTTTTCATTAGCATCCTTATTCTTCTTATAATTCTTACAAAAATAAAAGGTGAAAATTCTGTCCCAGTGGTTCTATCTGTATTTTTGCCCTTTCACTCGATATTTTTAAAATTTAAATCGATTTATAATGATTCATGTGGTTCTTATACAGGATATAACTCACTTAAAACACTAATTTGACAAATCAAACTGAAATTATCTCTGCACCAGAAGGGAAATCAGATGCCCAAGCATTATGGGGACTGTCTTGACATTTAGCTGACTCATCCTGAAACTGAGGTTTTGTCCTTGTTTGTCTCATTCACTTTGAAAGTTTTCTGAGACTGACATCCTTTATTTGCACAGCCAGCTTCTGTGATAAATATGTCACCCTGAAACATGGTGAAATGTTCCCTGGAGGTGATGCATACCTGTTAAAGTAAAAAAATATTTTTAATTACTCCAGAAATCAGAACATGGTCTTACATATATAAAGAGTATAATTCAAACAGTTATCACAAATGAAAAGACACTTCAAGGAATTATCCAGAGAGATGCTAAAAAACCCCAACCAATTGTACCTACTGAAATGATCAAACAGAATCTCATGTCTCATGGCCTTTTACTGTTCTGAACAGAGAGGAAAAACATCAACAAGAAGAAAATGGCATAAAGGAAACTAAACATCAGAGACTGATGCTAATCTGATTATTTAGACTTTGGCATTAACAGTTGATTGGCATAACAGGCTGTAAAGCAGAATCACTGGGAAAATCTAGTCAGGGGTTTGCTGTAACAGAGGGAGTCAGAGGTGTGTCATCCATATTTAGGTATTAGCAACAGAAGGAATGTAAGATCAAGTACTACATTTGCTGAATAAATAATTGTCTGCATTGGTGAACTATCACCAAGTTGTTGGTGATTCTGTCATTGAATCTGCATGGATAAAAGATCATGTGATAGTTGTTCAGAGGAGTATTCCATGATGAATTAGCCACAAGAAAGGACAGTTAATTTCTTTTACTTAAGAGCATCTTTATTCTGATCTGATCAAGGGGTTTTACCAGTAGTAGCAAAGAGATAGGCTAAGTTTGTTTCCTTGGTCTGGTCACTTCTTTTCAGGGTGTTAAGAGATGAATCCAGTTTCTTTCATTTTGATATTACCTTTTTCCTGAAATCTTCCAGCTGTTGGTATGGATGAGCATCATCTCTGTATTATCTTGAGCTTCTTTTGCAACTTGGTAGCCAACACACTAGCAAAATATATTTGTAAGCAGTAACTGGTAAGAATCATGCCAAAGACTGAGCATCTGTGGAAACTAGTAAACAGCTTGGAGGAGTGTGTTCATAAAGTGCTGTCCCACCTGTATCATGTTTCTGCTTTGTTAATCATTATTAATTTTTAAGTGCCAAATATTTACAACTAAGGCTGACGTGCTTAGGACTAGGATATCTTAGCCTGTATCATTGTATAAACTGTTTCTCTACTTTCAGAATATTTACACACACCCTGTTTTTTATTGTCTCTTGGCTGAAGATTACTGGTCCCATAACCAGCCAAGTTGATCATATCAGACCTCCTAATCCGCTTTGGAGCAAAATAAGACAATTGATTTTAAAATAGTGCTTTAAACATGTCTGGTTCAAGACTTCTTTTAATACAGGCAAAAGTTCAGTGGAGAAAAAAAAAATTAAAAATACTTATGAGTGGTTGGTCAGGCACCATTCTTCTTGAGTGATTCAGGATACCAAACCCAAGCTAGATTCCTTATTCTAGTGGTGAAAAGTCATGGTTCTGTTTTCTGTGCCCAACAAGGCAGTTCTCAACAGCGATGATGGGAAACAAGAGTAAAGCAAGAATCTGCATAGGTAGTTTCCAGCTCTCCCCTGCAGTCTTCCTCCTCTAGAGGAGCTGATTACCTTTCTAGCATTTATTGTCTTCCAATTCAGAGCTGGTAAAAGGCAATGTCAGAGCTCAAGCCTCTTGTTTTCTGCTCACTACTCTGTAACTGATTACTTAGCTTTACTTGCACAGGCATGAGAAGAGAATGGTGCTGGAAGTCAAGGGAGGTGGGGAGGCTGGTGTAGCCCTGCACTCAGAAGTGTGACCCAATAAATTGGACAACCTCTTTATTTTTAGCTTGTCCACATTAATCTGCTGCCCTAGGTAAATACTGACATAACTTACGCCTAAAGACAGTTCTGCATCTTGGTAGAGCTACCGTAAATCTGAGTTTCTTCACTGTTCCTCTCTCTCTGCTGAAAATTTGTTCCAGATGTGATCTGAAGTGCTTCAGACTTTTTTTCCTACCTTTTTTCCCCCTCTGAGCATTCCACAGCTCAGCCAGAGCATTCTCAGGTATTTTCACAGTGTCTGTGCAGGTCAGCAGTAGAGCACGTGCACAGCTGTTTCAAGGTTCCCTGCACACCCTCTCTATGCATGGTACCAATGATACACATATGCTGAATGAGTCCCATTTGTAGGCATGAATCACCTGTGGAGTAGTTCTGGTGTGTTCTGTGTATGACAGGCTTGTTGAACATCTGGCACACAGATGTGTAGACCTCTGTCCAGAAAATCACAGACAGAAATTTAGGAGTCTTAAGTAAATGACAATTCTGCATTCATGTATGAACACTATTTCCTGCATGTACTTTTTGTGCCAGTTGCCTCAACAGGACTGCTCAGTATCTATGTTTCTGCAAAACTGGAGTATACCTTCATGGACAGGATTATAAAAGGAGAATGTGTTGTTATTCATGGTATGTCTAGGAACAAGTTGTTCAAACTTTCTTACCCAGTATTTCTACTTGTAGTAGCTGTGACATTTATCAGTTTCTGCAGCAAGTTTATCAGAGAAGGATGTCAGTATGTTAATTATTTAATACTCCATCGAAATCTTTACATGTCAGTAAACTACAAAGTGTTATTTTATAAAATCAGTTATAGTGTTTGGCTTTAACAAGTGTTGGCATGTTCAAAGAGCTTAATGAGAAGTGTTTAATTAAGTAATTATTTATAAATGTATAAATATTGATTTATTAAAAATCTGAAAGATGAAACAGAAATTAAAGGTACTTTTAGGAGTTACAGACCAGTATCAATGGTAGGATTAGCATATTTTTCAATTTTCAGTGTATTTTTGTTCATTGTGCTCTCCAAAACAGTTAATTAATAGATGCAGAAATAGTTTACTTTTTTTTTTCAAGTAAGCTTAGCTGAAGAGATTCATAATCTTATGCATTGCAGATCTATTACATAATTCATTTGTAGGATTCCAAGCTATCCACCAAGACTTCAAAGGAACTCTTATCTGGCAGCAAAATTTGCCCAAAGATTATTAGCTCTTAAAATAATTTTAATAATTCCTTTCATGAAAGAGACAGTAAAAATAAAGTAGCGTGTAACACTGTGATGGCTTGGGTAAGTTCCCTATGCTGTTCTTCAGCTAAACATATTCCCGTATTGTGGGTGGAGAACACACTGAATTGCAAGATAGTTGGGGAATAATGCTATTTGCTCTCCTTTTGGTCTCCTATACTTTCTTCTTAGTTTAGAAAGATGTATTTTCTTGCTGCTGTATTTCATAATTTTAAAATGGAGGTTGAGCTTTAGAAAATGATTTTTCAGTAAATAACCCTGAGAATTTTCGACTTTGCAAATTTATGTTTTGTCAAATGACACTTTGCAGAGAGATGTGGTGAAGCACAAGAGTAAGTTCAGTGTTCTTTCTACTGAGCACGTGGTCCAAGACTCCTAAGTATCTGCTGTATCTGAGGATGTCCACAATGGCATGTCTACCAACTGAGGCAATGTGATTAATGGGAGAAAAGTTCATATAACCTTGTAATCGAGTGCTGTACACATGGAGACTGAATGATGGATGCATGATTAGTTTCAGTATCTCCATATAACAGCATGTGACTCATTGTGTTTTTAATATATTTAGAAAAATAAATGGGCAGGTGAATGCTGGAGCTGCCAGCTACTCTCACGTGGCTGTCACACAGTTCAGGTGTCATTCCCTTTCCAGTATCATGGTCTGTGACCTGTGTGCTGCTGGAGCTGGGCTGTGATGAACTCCTTATTTTGGAGAAGGAACAGTTCAGTGGAGACACTGAGACCCACTGAGCTTCCCAGCAGCTGTACTGCTTCCTAGGACCCTTCCAGCCTGGAATGGCGTGGCACCTGTTGCCAACGCTATACATGAGGTTTCATGTGGTTCATTGGGTGAAGATTTTCCAT